AAATCGTCCAAGAGACTGTTTTCAAGCCTCGAAAAGCTGCTCAATCGAATGCAAGAAAAATGGCGAGAAAAAGTTATCTTCGTTAAAGAAAAAGGTAGAGTACAAGGACAGTGAGTAAATGGTTCTTATGTTGCAAGTAAGGTGATCAAAGTTCTTACCAAACACAATAATCTATCCATCAACTTGACCAAAGAAAAAGATGCTGCAACATTGGTAATTGGAGAAACAGAAAAGGATACGAGTGCTCTTATCGACCTTCTGAAAAAGTACCACCCGGAGCTTATCATCGAGAAGCCGAGAAAAAGAAACCCGAGAATATTATTAAGAGGCTTAAATTTAAATGAAGTTTTCGACACAGAAGTCGATGATAATCAGCTTTTGGATAAGCTGATCGAGATGAACCAATGGCAAAATGGAGAAGAAGATGAACAAATTAAGGTTCTAAAAAGCTTCAAATCGAAGAAAGTGGCTTCGAACCTTTTGGTCACCAACTTGGTTCTTTCCGTTCCATCGAAAGTGAGAGACAATATTTCACAAACAAATGGAAGAGTAAAATTTGGCTTCAGAAAAGTCCAAATAGAAGACACTTTCATCATCAACTCCTGTAATAAGTGCCAATCCTTGGATGGTCATCATCAAGAACAATGTAAGAATCAGAAAAGATGCAAAAAGTGTGGCGAATGTACCTGTACTGGTAATTGTAGATCTCCACCGTCATGTTATCGTTGCAAAGCCAATGGTCAAGACCACAACCACCACTGTATGTCGAGAAAGTGCCCAATGATTCAGGCCAAAACAGAAGCCGCGATGAACCTCGTTAATTATGAGTACAATGATTTATTTTAAATCGTCGCTCATATTACTAAGTACTCATCATCATCATCATCATCATCAACAACAATCACAACATCAACAACAACAAAAACAAGTACCACACAATCATCATTAGCATCATCAACATTTTTATACCCAGACAATCAAGTTCGTTACTAAGAAACTAATTTAGCCCAGTATTTAAACAGATTCAACAGGTTGGATAATTTAAACAAATTAATTCTCAAGTCCAAATAATCCCTTGAAAATTCATCATTTTTAGATAATTAGAATTAAAATGAAACTAATTAGATGCACGGGTAAAGATCCAATCCTTTTCATCACCTTCATGGGACAAAAGTCCGAACAACGGAGCAATAGGAGAGGACGATCCTGAACCTGAAAAGCGTTAAAATGAACCTGCAAACTCTGAGATGAAATAATGACCGATACTGACACCAATTATTGATGCAACTCAATCAGCTAATTAACCAACCATTTTATTCACAATTATTCTTATTGATTTTATCCTCCTTTTCTATCTTTCTCTCTTTTTCTTTGTCCCTCCTTTTCTCTCTTTTTCTCTTATATTCATCTCATTTATCCCATTTTTTTATTTATATTTTCTTATTTTGTAACAATTTATTATCCAAAATTCTATGTTATGTTATACAATCAAGCAGGCACCCATTGTGTGGGAAAATGCTCGAAAGGGCGGAACCTTTTACCTGCTCGAACTCGAAAGAGTGATTCAATACAATAAATAACCCTGATTTGTTAATAGATTTGCTTCTTCTAACCAATTCAAATCTTTCTTCTTCAATTAAAAAAGGTGAATTGTGACCAGTGTTACAATATATATATTATAACGAGAGAAAGTGTATAATGATGATTAGGAGTGCATTATAATTTAGATGATATCATTGTGTCAACAATTAAAAAAGGTGAAACAATTAACGAGTCCATGTTGGATATTAATGTCTCTGAGCCATGGAGTTAATTGCTTAAGCATCAAAAGCTGGTATTGATTGAGTTGAACCTGAAAAACGTTAAAATGAACCTGCAAACTCTGAGATGAAATAATGACCGATACTGACACCAATTATTGATGCAACTCAATCAGCTAATTAACCAACCATTTTATTCACAATTATTCTTATTGATTTTATCCTCTTTTTCTATCTTTCTCTCTTTTTCTTTGTCCCTCCTTTTCTCTCTTTTTTCTCTTTTTCTCTCTTTTTCTCTTATATTCATCTCGTTCATCCCATTTTTTTATTTATATTTTCTTATTTTGTAACAATTTATTATCCAAAATTCTATGTTATGTTATACAATCAAGCAGGCACCCTTTGGGTGGGAAAATGCTCGAAAGGGCGGAACCTTTTACCTGCTCGAACTCGAAAGAGTGATTCAATACAATAAACGACCCCGAAACTTGCTATAAAAGTAAGATTGTTTCACCCAATTCAAATTGTAACCATGGGGATGAAGCGGTTTTTTAAACTTTGATGACGGATTGATTGTTGATTACGAAGTTAAATGAAAAGAATAAAATTCATATGCTTAAGCCATTCACTAACATCCTCATCATCAACAATCACAACATCACCAAAAAAATAATTTATCCACTAATATATATGTATAATAATGATTCTTGAGAATAATTTCGATTGAATTGATATCATGAGGTTCGATGTAAACAATAGAAATAAACCTTTTTTCTGTTGAAAGTAAGCATAATTTCAACTCGAAACTCTCTATTGACAATAGGGGGCAGTAGTTTTTTCTGCCTTCGGCTGAATCATTGGCGCTTCAATATATTGGCCACATCGCAAAGGGAAAGTTTCATTATCCATTTAATGTTTACTATTGTTCATTACGTTCTATTGTACTTTAAATAATTTAATCTATCTTCCTCTAATTAGCTGATACGTTGGATGAGATTTTCAATTGATATGGAATCTTGTGTTCGTGTAATACACTGACTGTCCGTCCAGCAGATTCGAGGACAAGTTGAGCGGCCAAAGGAAGATCGTTAATCACTGCTAATAAATAATAGTGTTCCTTGGTATGTGTCTTAATTATGTTTATATCATATTCCCTAATTGCATCCTCGATAGGTCCATATTTCTTCTTGTATCCTTTGAGCGATGCTAGAAGATCATTATATTGATGACATCGGGGAATGTCAACACTAATCTGACGATCGGTCGGTGTTGGCTTTAGTTTTTTATCGTATATGAGCAAATCATTCTAATCTACTTCCAAAATTACAGCTCAGGTTGGACTCGATAAGCAGTAGCTTGTCGATAGCCGATGATCTAACTGAATCATCTTGATTGTATGTCATACTAGTCGATATAAAAGTGTTCTCTCAACTTGGTACTTTAAATCACTCTCACGAATTATTATTGGAAGAGGTGATTCGGTGTCCGATTTAATCTCATTCTTTGATCTGGTTGATATTAATGGATAAATTATTGTTGGATCCAATTCATTCAATCGTCTCTTTAAATTATCTATTGGTAATACTTCAATGTACAACGCCAAAGTGGGCAGAATTGCTGAAAGCATTGGAAAAAGAATCGACGCTAAATTAGAGGCTGATTCCAAGAAAAGCTACAGCCAAATCGTCAAAGAGACTGTCACCAAGCCTCGACAAGCTGCCCAAGCAAATAAATGCAAGAAAAATGGCAATAAAGAAAAAGTTATCTTCGTTAAAGAAAAAGGTAGAATACAAGGTCGTGGGTTAAAGGTTCTTTGGTTTTAAGTAAGGTGATCAAAGTTCTTACCAAACACAATAATCTATCCATCAACTTGACCAAAGAAAAAGATGCTGCAACATTGGTAATTGGAGAAACAGCAAAGGATACGAGTGCTCTTATCGACCTTCTGAAAAAGTACCACCCGGAGCTCATCATCGAGAAGCCGAGAAAAGGAAACTCGAGAATATTATCGGTGTTAGTATTAGTGGTTGTGGTCTTGACCATTAGCTTTGACACCACAGATAATTCAATTGGACACAATGATATCATCTAAATTATAATTTACTCCTAATCATCATTATACAATTTCTCTCGTTATAAAATATTGTATCACTGGTCACAATTTAAATTGTAATTTTTATTATTATTATTAAATTATATGAATTACCTGATTCCTTAATTATTGACACTGATTGTTGAACAATATCTATGTCAGTCTTACCAGTTGACAGGACAGTTGGTTTATTATAATTGGTGGCTCTCTCTTAATCACTGGACAATTTTTGGTATCACCTTAGCCAATTTTCAGTAATGGTACTTTAATTGAGTTAAGAAATCAACTGAATCAATGTTCATTGGTAAAGCGGTGAACTGGACACCCTGATGAAAGCTGATCGAGTAAATTTTCTGGTTAAATTTGATTCAACCCGGTCAACACCAGCTTTTGATGCTCAAGCAATTAACTCCATGGCTCAGAGACATTAATATCCAACATGGATTCGTTATCTGTTTCACTTTTTTAAATTGTTTAGCACCAAGAGCAACAGCGGCCAAAGATATTGAATCATCGTCCGCTGATTCGTGGCCTGAATAACCAATAACCGCAAATGGAAATGACCTTTGATAGGTTTTAATTACGTTTAAATCAACTGATTGTATTGGATTGTCTTCCATCAGATCTTTATTAACTTTCCGACCAATTAATTGATAAAATTTATGAGCAGCAATTCCCGGAGGCTCAGAGACTTTAATATCCAACATGGATTCGTTAATTGTTTCACCTTTTTTAATTGTTCAAGTAGTGACAATTGATTTACCTAATTTAATGTAATGAAAACTTCAAAATTCGTTCCATCCCCATGGTTACGATTTGAATTGGTTAAAAGAAGCTTATCAATTAAAAAAATGGGACCGTGGCCCAATGGATAAGGCGCCTGACTACGGATCAGGAGATTCCAGGTTCGAATCCTGGCGGTCTCGTAAATTTTTTGCACTTTAATTTTATTAATTGAATCTTCGATTATCAATTAACTTTACTAGATTATTTTATTTGATTAATTATTTTCTTTCTTTTTTGACAATTATTTTTTCTCGCTGATCAAGTTTCTTTATTATCCAGAAAAAAATTGTTCGATTTTCTTAATGCTCATACATTCTGATCAGACTGATTTTCATGATTAATTTTTTGCAGATTATTACGATTACTTGTTGTTTGTTTGAGTTAATCAAATAAATTTCAACTTCTCAATTCGATAATTTAACTTAGTAGTGAAAATAAACTGGTCTATTTATCTGGCAACTTTATTTTTCTCTTCCATGTTTATGTTTTTGTTTTTGTCTCTCATTTTCTGATTGTCATAATTGGACTTTGAATCTAATTTATTAAACTTAATTCTTTAGTTGATTGTCTATTTTTATAAATTGTTTTCTTTTCTATTCCTTTAGTAGATTATGTCGAATTTATTAACTTTTTCTACTTCATTATCATCTAAATCATCATCTTTTGAAGTGATCGGTGAAATTGGAGGTGGTAATAGTGATGAGAATGGTAATCAGAATGGTGATTGTTTTGATAAGTATAATGTTAATTATGAATTCGGTAAAACCACCCTGAAGGCAGGGCACAATTCACATGACGATTGTGGTTCCAATGGACTACCAACAACACCAAATTCAATCTCAATCATTGGTAATTTCAGAGCGATTGTTGATTCAATAAGTCATCCCAATATCTCACAATATGTTGACTGTTATCGGAGTAAAAATGGTAAAAATGGTTGATTCTAATTTTCAGCTTCTATTTACTAATTGTATGATTTTCTTTTTTTCTTTCTCTTTCATCCATAGAAAAGGTTTGCCTTGTCTTTGAATATTATCAGAAATCTTTTTCTCTGGTTGATTTCGACAACATGGTCAGTCAATTGCTCACTGGACTTCACTTTTTACATTTACATTTGAATATTGTCCATGGTAATATAACACCCGAGGCTATTGTCTTCAATGGTATCAACTATAAATGGATTCACTGGCCTTTAAATGTAATCACTGAATTCGGTCGATATCTTGATTGTTCTGCTTTATTACCAAGGAATCTTAGTTATGTTCCTCCAGAACGAGCAATCAATTTAAAGAGTAAACCATGTAAACGATCCGATATTTGGTCATTTGGTTTAATTGTTCTCTCTTCTCTCTACCCGGAAATTAAGTTACCTCGTAATCCAGTTACTCTTGCCGCTTGTAAAACAGTTGATGAGGTTTTAAAAAGGCTCAATGTAACTGAAACTTTACCAGCTAAATGGTCAAAATATCAACAAGTAATCAGCCAGTGTTTAAATCCAAAGGTAAATTTAAGACCAACAGTCAATCAACTGATGCAACTACTAGAGATTGAGATTCCCAACCATGAGATTTATGGTCTAGATAAACTGATCAAGTACAATAAAATACCCGATTATCGTCCAGATGAATGTCCATTGACCATTCGAGAAGCATATCATTTCTGGTGTCTATCATCAACCACTAATCGTGATAAAGATTGTGATGAGAAACAAGAACCACCCATATTACGTTTACCATCATTGGTTATCCTAGAAAGTTCTGGTTCAATAACAAATTATTCCAACAATTCATTAACATCCTCATCCTCATCATCTACAATCACAACATCATCAACAACAAACACAAGTAACACACAATCATCATCTTCCTCATCAATAGCATCATCAACATCAAGTATTGTCTCATTTGTACCTCATTATATTGAAGTATTACCAATGGATAATTTAAAGAGACGATTGAATGAATTGGATCCAACAATAATTTATCCACTAATATCAACCAGATCAAAGAATGAAATTAAATCGGACACCGAATCACCTCTTCCAATTATAATTCGTGAGAATGATTTCACGTACCAAGTTGAGAGAACACTTTTATTCCGACGTTTATGCAACGAAAGTCCATTTCTTCGAGATGATCTACTCAAGTCTTCGGCCATCGACATACCACCCGCTTATCGAGCCCAAGCCTGGGCCGTAATCCTGGAAGTAGATTGGAATGATTTACTAATCTACGATAAAATAGACAAACTAACGCCAACTTCAACCGATCGTCAGATTAGTGTTGACATTCCCCGATGTCACCAATACAATGATCTTCTAGCATCGCCCAAGGGACACAAGAAATTTTCCCGAATACTCAAAGCTTGGCTTCGTCACAATGAACCTCACTACGTATATTGGCAGGGATTAGATTCACTTTCGGCTCCTTTCGTCCTTCTCAATTTCAACGATGAACCAATGGCCTTTGCCTCTTTCAACGCTTTCATTCACAAATATCTTCGAGGATTTTTCTCCAAGGACAATTCTCAAACAATCCAAGAATATCTCGCCCTCTTTTCCCATCTGATCGCCTTTCATGATGTTAACCTCTTCAATCACCTTTACCACCTTAACTTTACCCCTGAACTTTACTGTATCCCCTGGTTCTTGACCATGTTCACTCATGTCCTTCCCTTACACAAGATTTTCCATGTTTGGGATACCCTGTTACTCGGCGATGAATCTTTCCCTCTATCAATTGGTTTATCAATTCTCAAACAACTACGAGATCAGCTTGGTTATACCTTTAATGATTGTATCCTCATCTCAAGTGACCTGCCGGAGATTAACATTGACCAGTGTGTCCAAGACGCAATTCAATTTGTAAAAACAACTCCACCAAGTGCTACCAAAAGAGGACTGGTCAGTTTTAATATTATTTTTCTCAACTTAAATTATGATTTAGATGATTTACTTTCTCAAAAATTATTTTCCAGTTTCCAACTAATGAATTGGTCAGTGAGATTTGCCCTCGGATCACAATGGATGATTTAATTGACGCTTGGGAATCTGGTGAACGGGTGATAATTGTTGACCGACGTTCAGAAGATGATTTAATTCAATATGGATCAATCGAGGATGCAATTAGGGAATATGATATAAATATAATTAAGACACATACCAAGGAACACTATTATTTATTAGCAGTGATTAACGATCTTCCTTTGGCCGCTCAACTTGTCCTCGAATCTGTTGGACGGACAGTCAGTGTATTACACGAACACAAGATTCCATATCAATTGAAAATCTCATCCAACGTATCAGCTAATTAGATTATCCAACAGATTAGTCAATCAAATAACAACAATCACAATTAAATCAACTTTTTCACTGAGAATATAATAACATTACAATCAATCACTTTATCTGGTCATCGTAAGGTTTAAAAAGTTTAATCAACAATCAAGATTAGATCTCATAAAGAAATACACAAATGATAATCATCCCGATTAATCAACTGTTTTTAATTGTCTGGCAATCAATTTCTACTATTACTCTAATTGTCTGCTCTTTACAACAGACAATTTAATTGGACACAATGATATCATCTAAATTATAATGCACTCCTAATCATCATTATACACTTTCTCTCGTTATAATATATTGTATCACTGGTCACAATTTAAATTGTAATTTTTATTATTATTATTTTAGGTTTAAAATTAATTGATTTGTTTTTCTTATTGGGGAAAATTAATTGTTTGGATTTCGAGTCATCGTGATGATCAACAAAATCACTAATGTTTAACAGTATTAATTATCCTGATACAATTTGTTTGTGCAATAAAATTTTTTTTTGCTATCAACTTATCAATACGAAAAGTTAAATAACAATTAGTAAATCAATCTAAATCAACTGATTGAATTGGATTGTCTTCCATCAGATCTTTATTAACTTTCCGACCAATTAATTGATAAAATTTATGAGCAGCAATTCCCGGAGGCTCAGAGACTTTAATATCCAACATGGATTCGTTAATTGTTTCACCTTTTTTAATTGTTCGAGTGGTGACAATTGATTTACCTAATTTAAGGTAACATGGGATTTCACTTGAATTTTTAACCTTTTCATTTGAACCAAAGGCTTTTTCAATTGTCCGAATTTTCTTGATCAATGAAGTTAATTGTTCCAAGTTTAATGAACACCGATGGTCACTTCCTTTCATCGATTGGTCAAGAGTTACATGTCTTTCTAGCACTTTAGCACCAAGAGCAACAGCGGCCAAAGATATTGAATCATCGTCCGCTGATTCGTGGCCTGAATAACCAATAACCGCAAATGGAAATGACCTTTGATAGGTTTTAATTACGTTTAAATTAACATGTTCAGGTGGACATGGGTATGAACTGGTACACTGAAGGATGGCCAATGAATTACCTGATTCCTTAATTATTGACACTGATTGTTGAACAATATCCACATCAGTCATACCGGTTGACAGGACAATCGGTTGATTATAATTGGTGGCTCTCTTAATCAATGGATAATTGTTGGTATCACCTGAGCCAATTTTCAGGAATGGTACTTTAATTGAGGCCAGAAAATCAACCGAATCAATGTCCATTGGTGAAGCGGTGAACTGGACACCCTGATTGTTGGCATAATCTTTTAATTGGACAAATTGTTCATTAGTTAATTCTAATGATTTCTTATGTTCACCATAAGTTGAACCGAAAGAGTTGAAACCTTGATATGGTCGAGATAAAGCTGATTGAGTAAATTTTCTGGTTAAATTTGATTTCTGAAATTTAACACAATCAACACCAGCTTTTGATGCTCCAGCAATTAAATCCATAGCGATTGACATTGACCCTTGATGGTTTTGTCCAATCTCAGCGATCACATAACAAGCTTGATTGTCACCAATTAAACGACCAGGATGAAGTTCAAAGGAAACTTTTCCACTCATAATTGTTGATTACTAAGAACTACAATTAAACAAATCAATTGAAATCTATTGAGAATATGAATAAAGAAACATTAAATTAGGTTAAAGGTCAATCTTCAAAGAGAAATTTTTTTTTCTTCTCTCTTTATCTTCCAAGTCTATGTGGGTCATCAAAGGTCACCAAGGGTATGACCTCTCGTGGTAAATTCTTATTCGATTTGTCTTCTTCTTCTTCTATTTTATCAATAATACCATCGAATATTTAAGAATATCAATTATTCGAGATTCAAATTTAATCTTCTCGAATGAGGGAAGAAAAAAAAGTTCCAACAAAAATCGAAGTTATTTATTCTGATGGTCAGTCGAAAATCGTCAAAATTCAAAGAAGATATTCCATTAATAATCTTCGAAAATCTTGCAAAATCAAACAAAAGAAATCAAGACTCGATAGAGAGAGAGAGAAAAACTACAACCAGTAAGCAAAAAGATCAAATTTACGATCAATTAAAGAAAAGAATAAAAAAATTCTCATTAGAATTTTTCTCTCTCCATTCATAGAGCATATGTGATGTTCCCTCTCCCCCTTGTATTGTTTTCTCTGTGTTTATCCAACATTTATTTTCCTTCAGTCTCTCGTTTCTATACAATTTAAATTAATTTCTCTCTTTTTATTTTCTATTGTGATTAATTGAATCCACTAATTTACTACAATTAGAGTGACAATTAAATTTAAAGCTGGCGCTTGCAGTTAATTGTAGCTACAACTCAACAAGATCCATTTGATTTTGATTTGTATGCTTCGTCAGCTTGTTAATTGTATAAGAGGCTTGACAATTTACAACCCATAGTCTTTTAGTGTACATACAAATTTTTTTATTTTTTATTTTCTCCAACAATTAAATCAATTCTCTCACTCTCTCACTCCATTTCTCTTGTAACAGTATTGGTTTTTCCTGATTCTCTTATCACATTCACAGTGATAAGTGTTTCCTTCTGGTATAATAGTGATTCTTACTCTTTACTGGTGGCGATCCATTTGTGGGTAGACATTAAATTACCTACATTCTTAATTTGTGAATAATTTAATCGTTTCATTATTGTCTTGTTAATTACCTGTTTCAATTTGGATTGTGTAGGAACCTTTGGAACATTGTTTTTGGTTTTCACTCTATATGGTTACCTGGTCTCGTGGAAATCTCTATATATCTCTATCTCTATCTCTATATCTCTCCTTTCCAAATAACATAATCTTCTGAATTGTTTTCTTCTATTCTTTGGTTTTAATTGAGAGATTATCTGAATTCTATTCAACTTATTCTCTCATCCATCTACCTTATCTCTTGGTTTTCCTTTCCCTTCTCCTGGTTGTTTTCCATGGGCCAAGTGCTAAGGACAACATTCAATGGCAACCTATTAAAATGTCACTCATCAGTAGACCTCCAACTACATGCAAGATGTTCATAATTAAAACTCTAGAGAAAATATTGGCTGATAAGGAGATAAAAAAATCATCCAATGGTCACATTAAGAGAGCCTGTGAAACCGCTCTGGAAGAGATTAAGAAAAAAATGGGACCAGAAGAGACCGGTAACAATTCAAATTCACCAGGAACCTTTTCAACAGCCTTACCTTTACCTAAAGACTTAGAAAATAGTCTTGCTATTGACGCGGAGAAATATTTCCATCCTCTTGAGCTTAGCTGTGGTTCAAAATCAGCTAGAATTGTTACTATTGCTCTGGACTGTATTCAAAAGTTAATCGCTTATGGTCATATAACCGGTAACACTCAAGATCCAAGGAATCCAGAGAAACTGTTGATTGATGTTATAGTGGATACAATATGTTCCTGTTTCCATGGACCAGCGACCGATGAAGGTGTTCAATTACAGATAATTAAAGCTCTATTAACCGTTGTTTCTTCACAATATTGTCAAGTTCATGAGGGAAGTGTCCTACTGGCAGTTAAAACGTGTTATAATATATACATAGGAAGTAAGAATTTAATTAATCAGACCACCGCAAAGGCAACTCTCACTCAAATGTTAAATGTAATCTTCCGAAGGATGGAAGAGTGTGCAAATATTGAAGGTAATTTAATTCAATTGATTCTTTACAAATTGATTGTTTTCTCTCTTTTCCTATCTTTCCAATTGAAATTGAAATTGAATCCAATCTCTTTTAATCTGAAATTTTTGTTTCTTTCTCACAACAGATAATATTTCAAATTGCGATTATCAAGAAAGTGTTGACACGGAAATTGAAGCTACCGTTGTGGCCGTTGTTAATGATATGGTTGATTATGTTGTCTCTAGTGAGACAACAGATAGTAAACAATCAAATAAAACCGATAGAAGCAGTGGAAGTTTTAATTCATCATCATCATCATCTAACCATGTAACCTCAAATAATTTAAATCATCGGATACCCTCATCTGATAGCCTTGAAACCGCTGATACAACCTCTTTGGCCAATAGTGATGGTGGATCGGGTTTAAAGTTTACTCATGTAACCCAAAAAGATGCTTACCTAGTTTTCCGTTCTCTCTGTAAATTAAGTATGAAAGTACTTCCTGAGGGGCATTTAGATCCAAAATCTCATGAACTCCGTTCTAAGATACTTTCCCTCCAATTGATTCTTTCCATTCTTCAAAATCCTGGTCCAGTTTTCCAATCTAGTGACTTATTTGCCATTGCCATAAAACAATATTTATGTGTTGCACTCTCCAAGAACGGAGTTTCCAATGTGCCTGAAGTTTTTGAACTTTCTCTGGCTATTTTTTCAGTTTTACTAAAAAATTTCAAGACTCACCTAAAGATGCAAATTGAGGTTTTCTTTAAGGAGATATTTTTAAACATCCTGGAAACACCTACATCTAGTTTTGAACATAAATGGATGGTTATTCAAGTTCTAACCAAAATTTGTGCTGATGCTCAATCGGTTGTTGACATTTACGTTAATTATGATTGTAATCTTTCATCGGCTAATATTTTTGAAAGATTGGTTAACGATTTATCGAGGATTGCTCAAGGACGAGGACAACTTTTGGACATGTCATCAGTTACAGCTAATCAGGAACGATCAATGAGAATCAAAGGTTTAGAGTGTTTGGTTTCCATTCTCAAATGTATGGCTGAATGGAGTAAAGATCTTTATGTTAATCCACATCAAATGGCTAATCTTAATCAAAATCAATCGAAAGAAAATGTTAATGATCATGATAATGGTCATTCAATTTCCTCCATCAATGATTCATCACTTGGTTTACGAACTGATTATGATAATTTGGAAAGATTTGAGGTTGTTAAACAGCAAAAGAATATAATTGAACAAGGAATTGACCTTTTCAATCGTAAACCTAGACGAGGTCTCGCTTTCCTTCAAGAACATGGTTACCTTGGTAAAACGGCCTGGGATATAGCTGAATTTTTCCGTTCCAATGATCGTCTAGATAAAACACAGATCGGCGAGTATCTTGGAGATAATGATTCACATAACAAGGAAGTGATGTACGCTTATGTTGATCAAACGGATTTCAGTGATCGTGATATCGTCTCAGCTTTACGTTTATTTCTAGAAGGTTTCAGGTTACCTGGTGAAGCTCAGAAAATTGATAGACTGATGGAAAAATTTGCCTCCCGTTATTGTGAATGTAATCCAAACAATTCTCTCTTTGCAAGTGCTGATACTGCCTACGTACTTGCCTATTCAATCATCATACTGACCACTGATCTTCACAGTGCTCAGGTTAAAAATAAAATGACCAAAGAGCAGTACATAAGGATGAACCGTGGTATCAATGATAGTAAAGATTTACCGGAAGAATATCTTTCCCAGATTTACGATGAAATTGCCGAGAGTGAGATTAAAATGAAAGGTGATCATGGAGTCAAGTGGAAACTTAACAAAGAGGTAACCAATCCAAAGAAACGACGTTTACTTTATGACATGGAAATTGAACAAATGGTTTCAACGGCTCGAGTTTTAATGGAAAGTGTTGCTCATGTTGAAGCTTCTTTCACTTCGGCTAAACATCTTGAACACGTTAGGCCAATGTTCAAGATTGCATGGACTCCCTTTCTGGCTACTTTTAGTGTTGGTCTACAAGATTGTGATGATACAGAAATTGCCTCATTGTGCCTTGAGGGTATTCGCTGTGCCATTAGGATTGCGTGTATCTTTCACATGGAATTGGAAAGAGATGCTTACGTTCAAGCTTTGGCTCGATTTACCCTGTTAACAACAACCTCAAGTCACACCGAGATGAAAACTAAAAACATCGACACCATTAAAACCCTAATTGCTGTAGCTCATACCGATGGTAATTATCTGGGTAAATCTTGGCTCGAGATACTCAGATGTATCTCACAACTTGAATTGGCCCAATTAATTGGTACCGGTGTTAAACCTTCCCTATTAAATACATCATCGAATGCCCATTTTACCAATGTATCATTACTTCAATCTCGATTTGAAGGAATTGCTCTTTTTTCCGTTGACTCACTTTCTCGAACCACTAACACCTCGCACAGGAAAGAAGATCAACTTTTAAATGAAACAAGTTCACAAAGTGTTGTCGTTGCTGTTGATAGGATTTTCACAGGTAAACAAAAAAAAACAATCAGTAGAAAACTATCATCATTAAATGAAAGAAATTGAATCTTTCATCATTCAATTACCATCATTATAACTAATGGATTTTTTTACAACTTCCTGTTTCTTTTTTCTCAATTTTTCTTAATAGGTTCAACTAGACTTGATGGAGATGCAATTGTTGATTTTGTTAAAGCGTTGTGTCAGGTATCCATGGAGGAATTAACTTCGGGATCTCATCCAAGAATGTTCAGTTTACAAAAATTGGTCGAAATATCTTATTACAATATGGGTCGTATTAGGCTTCAATGGTCTCGAATATGGGAAGTGTTGGGTAACCATTTCAACAAAGTCGGTTGTTCGGGCAATGAAGAGGTCGGATTTTTCGCTCTCGACTCTCTCCGTCAATTATCAATGAAATTTATCGAGAAGGGTGAATTTGCCAATTTCCGTTTTCAGAAAGATTTCCTTCGTCCCTTTGAGCACATTATGAAATATAACGAAAGTCCAGCTATTCGAGACATGGTTGTCCGATGTATCGGTCAAATGGTTAGCTCCCAAGCAAAGAACATTAAATCTGGTTGGAAAAATATTTTCAGTATTTTCCGTTTATCGGCAACCGAAGCTGATGGATCTATTGTTGAACTCTCTTTCCAAACAACTTCTCACATAATTAATGTTCACTACGAGAACAATTTCCACTTGATGATCGATTCATTCCAAGATGCAGTTAAGTGCCTTTCCGAATTTGCCTGTAATCAAAAATATCCCGATACAAGTATGGAAGCAATCAGATTAATAAGAACCTGTGCAAAATATGTCGCTGATCAACCTCAAAGATTTAGAGACTTTGTCATGGATCAAACAAATCAAGCAAATAATCCGGATGGACCTTCGTCCGCCAATATGATCAATGAAACGGATAAAGTTTGGATTCGAGGATGGTTCCCGATTCTCTTTGAATTATCTTGTATTGTGATCATTTGTAAACTTGATGTTCGTACACGAGCATTAACCGTAATGTTTGAGATAATCAAATCATACGGTGATTGTTTCCAGAAACACTGGTGGAACGATTTATTCAAGATAATATTCCGAATCTTTGATAACATGAAAATGTCCGAAGGTGAATCCGAAAAATCTGAATGGATGACCACAACCTGTAACATTGCACTTTACTCAGTGATCGACGTTTTCACCCAGTATTATACAGTTTTAGGACCATTCCTGCTCCATTCGTTGTACCAGCAACTTTTATGGTGTGTCACCCAAGAGAATGAGCAACTTGCCCGATGTGGATCAAATTGTATGGAAAATTTGGTCATTTCATGTGGAATGAAATTTGATGATAAAACTTGGAAAATGACCTACGAATGTATCTATGAAATGTTCCGATCAACAACACCAGAGCAATTACGAACCTGGAGACCATCATTAGCTCACAATTCAACTAATACAATTGATGCAACTTATTCATCACCAACACATAGGAGTTCCTCTTTTTCATCTTCCTCACCCTATCAACCCTTTCCCTCTGATCCAATGGCAATTAGACAAAAATTTGATTCACTTGCAACGAAATGTCGAGTTCACAAGGAACTTATTCAAACGGTTGATAATATTGTCTTTTTCCCATCAACAAGTCGTAAAGAGGATAAAGAGATTATCAATGAAATTGGTCGGGAATTGGGACAATCACCATCACCTCAGTCAACATCAACTGCAGCTTCAAACATATCAACAAATCACATAAATAAATCATCATCATCATCATCTTATGTTCCATCATCAACCAATCAAGGTACCGTTAGTGGTTCCTCATCAGGGGAAAATGAGAATCATCACCAATTCTCCCAACAAGAAGAACAATTAGGAATGTATTCTTCCATGTCAACGGAAACCTTAATTCTATTAGTTCGACATTGTCTCTTAGAATCGCATCGATTTGCAAAAGATTTCAATTCGAATCATGAACAACGTAACATATTATGGAAGTCGGGTTTCAATGGGAACGCAAAGCCCAATCTTTTTTCCCAAGAGTCTCAATCTATCGCTTGTGCCCTTAGGATATTATTTAAAATGTACACCGATGAAAGCAGATCAGATAAACACCATGAAATTGAACAGGCATTGATTCAAATTTGTCCATCGGCTGTTGATTATTTTATAACGATAGAAGTTGAAAACCATAGAGAAAGTTGGAATTCTGTGATATTATTAATTTTTTCTAAAATTAACAAACTTCCAGATAATAAGGTAATTGAAATTATTTCTAAAAGAAACTTTAAATATTAATTGTAAATTGTTTTCTTTTTTTTCTCTCTGTTCTAGTTTCATATTCTGGTCCTACATAAACCTCTCGTTCTTTATAATTCGATGTGCAATATGATCCAAACTGACCTTAACCAAGAGATTCGAGTAGTTCTAAGACATTCCTTTTGCCGAATAGGAAAATTTCTCAGCTCACTAAGCATAGCCCCTTGATAATTAACTTCTGATTCTGATGATTTAAGTTAATTTCCAATATTTCTCTCTATCATCTTCAGGGTTGTTCACTTTTCAATGAAAATTATCCAAAGCACCAACAACAACAATTAGATTACTATTACATTATTATTACTATTGAATGAGCTACTGGATGACCAATTTAACTGACCTTTGCAAACTTGGATTGACAAATGAAACTGAACAATTAGTCAACAATTATATTATATTATTATAATAATAATTTAACACCACAATCAACAATCACCACCGATTTGGATTTTTAAATTTTGGTTTCAATTGTCATCTAATCTCTTAATTGTCAAACATTAATTTTACCATCAATAGGATTACCAAAGTCTTTAAAATAAGCAAACAATTTATAAATTGTTGATTATTACGTAATTGTAATCACCTTGGAAACATTAATTATGTTTTTAGGCTATTGTTCCTGATGCTTATATCAACAGTTAATTGTCAGATAATCATATTTAAAAAAAACCTCAATCAATCAACCACAAAATAATTAATGACAACACAATAAGATTCACATTTATATACATATATATTATAATAATTTAATTACCAATAATTGATGAAACTAATTTAATCAAAAAAATACAAGAGTTTAATAATAATAATCAATATAAAGGTTGTTACAATTTAAAAAACAAAATAATTTAACTTTAATTAAGAGGCTCAACAATTAATGCAAAAAGCGATACCAGAAATTTAATCACCTCAATTAAAATTGAAAATGATTCACAAACTGTTTAAGACTAAATTTTTTTTCTAAACAAATTAAAATAAATTAAATTTTTTAATTAAACGATCAACTGATTGACATAAATCAATAATTTCGATTCACGAAATTTTGTCCATTGGGAACAACATTTTCTAAAGCAACTCAACTCATACAAGATTCATTTCCAAAATTCTATAATTTATTTACCATTTCAATCAACAAATAATTCAATTCAATTGATTGTAATTGTAATTAATTCCTTTGAATTAAGTGAGTGATTTAACTTCTGAATTATTGGCCGGTAGATGGCGACTCATTTTCGCCGGAAACAGTTACCCGGAAATCGGAATTTGTTGTCACGACTTTTAAATTTTGTTAAAATCTTCATCAGGTTAATCATTGTCGTTAATTAGGTAAGGTTATTTGCTATTTAAATGATTTTAATTTAAATTTGATTGTTAAGGTCAACTAATTTACTTTGATAGAAATCTTTGTCTGTCAATTGTTACTTTCAACTTGTTTTATTCTGATCTATTTTTGGTGTTTTCTTTTCTTCCCTTTTCTCATTTTCTTTTTCTGTGTTTGATTTTCTCAGTCTTTGTTTTAATTTTGTTAATTTTTTTTTGTCTCCACAGTTTTTTCTTTCTTGGTTATTTCATCTTCTTCCTTTGTTAATTTAAAATGGCTCTTAAACTTTCCGGTGACGTTAACTCTCCTGCCAATCTTGCCAGTCTTAATACTTATTTGGCTACTAAGAGTTACATTGATGGTTATACTCCATCTTCTTCTGATGTTGTTATTGCTGATGCCATTTCTTCAAGTAAACTTGCCGGTGATCAATATGCCCACGTTGCTCGTTGGTTCCGACACATTTCAGCTTATTCAGCTGCTGAGAAGAAAGCTTTCCCCGGTGTAAAGAAAAGTTTAGCTGATTTTGGTGCTGAAGGTGGTGCAAAAGCTGCCGCTGGTGGTGGAGATGATGATGATGATGATCTTGATCTTTTCGGTGAAGAGGAAGACGCCGAGGCAGCCAAGGTCAGAGAGGAACGTCTCAAAGCTTATGCCGAGAAAAAAGCCAAGAAACCAACTGTCATTGCCAAATCAAACGTCATTTTAGATGTTAAACCTTGGGACGATGAAACCGACATGAAAGCCATGGAAGCAGAGGTCAGAAAAATCTCCACCGATGGTTTAATCTGGGGTATTTCGAAACTTCAACCTATTGCTTATGGTCTTAAGAAACTACAAATCGTCTGTGTTGTCGAAGACGATAAAGTTTCAATTGATTGGTTAACCGAAGAGATCGAAAAGATTGAAGATTATGTTCAATCGGTCGATGTAGCCGCCTTCCAGAAAATCTAATTTTAACACAATGAGTACCCGAGATTCCTGAATAATCAATAAAGAAAAAGCCTCTACAATTGATTTATAAGAATAACTAAATTGTACAGTTTTCCATTTCCATGTTGTCGGGTTGCAATAATATATTTATGGGAAAAAAACGTCAAACAGTTTTACAATGCAGAGAAAATGATTCTCATTTTAATTGCAGGAAATTTACAAAATTTAATGAAGAATATATTTTCAATACAAATTGTGGTCATCATTGACTTCAGTCTGTGTTGAATTGTGATTAATACCAGTAGAAGATGTTGACGAAGGTGAACCTTCAAAATAATCAAGGATTGATCGATTTGATTGTTGGATGTACCGTTGTTGTCGTAAATAAATCTTGAGCAATCCTTTGGCGACAATGAAGGTGAAACCTCCCTAAAGAGTTGACAAACAGAAAGAAAAGCAAAGGATTAAGTTAAATTGGACCTTTTGATGATTAATAACAAAAATGGCGAAGAGAAAAGAAACAACAATTAACTAACCATCATAGTTCGTTGTAGATTAGAGGTTATACCGGGGAATAAATATTTCCCAATGAACGACGAAACTGTGGGCAAGAGTAAAGCTCCGCTCACTTGTCGATACCAATAGAGAGGGTGAGAGAAAAGATCGCGATGATTTAAAATTCTTTCGGCTCTTTCAGCAGTTCCAGGAGGCGGTGATCCCAAAATTCTCGAGATAAACGGAATGTGACGATGATGTCGACGCCAAACTTTGAGCACTTGATCTTGCCAACTAATGAATCGACCAAGAACCAGAAACAAAGGTATACTTGGTAGAAATGCTAATAAAGTAAATGGATCGGCTTGTTCCAAGGTAGTTTTACCATCTTGTAGTCCCATTACCTGGAGAACGGTAATCGCACCATAAGATAAGGCCACCCAATAAACGGACCCAAGTAACATTGTACCGAAAGCATATGGAGCGGCTTGTAACAAGAATCCATCATAACGCTCCAAGATTAAAACGAATCCACCTAAAGGGAAATAAATTATAAATCGTTAACTTGACTTGTGAGTAAATTAGTTAACTAGATCATAACCAGGAATAGAAAACAAGTGTAATCAGCTGAGTAATCAATCTAAATAATGAAAAAAGAGAAAATTGTTATAAATTATAATTTCTCTGTTTTCTATCCTTGATATTAAAGTGAATTATTTTCATTAACATTGTCATAGAAAACACGATTAACGGGCTAATTAACGTGAAGAGAAAATTTCACAATTCGAGAAATTAATTCCATCGGAAAGGGTTTCCCTTTGAAGGTTTTAAATTTACCTCATTTAGCCTGAGGATTTGATTAGATTTTCACAATTAAGATACAAATTTTAAACCTTCATTATATTCAAATTGAATGACTAAATGAATGGATTGAGTGTTTCAATGTTAATTAACAAGGCTATCGTCATTTAAGAATCAAGGTAATTATTGTTGTTGTGATAATCAGACTAAACAGTTCATTGGGATCAAAATCCGATAGAAAGTGATTAATCAAGGATAGAAAACACTCACCGAAAGGAGGAAATATGAGAATATATTCGGTTTGACACTGAGGACAAACCACTTTAGCACTTGAATTGAACTTCTTTTTCTCATCGATCCACATTTGAATACACGATTGATGAACATATTTGGATGAACCTCGACACCGGCAAGGACGAACCCAATCAGTATCAGCGCCCTTTTCATCTTCGGTCTGTAAACAAACCCAACATTGTTTTCTAGGGGCAAGAAAAGAACAAAAAAAGACAAGATTAGGCCAATAAATTAATGGAAAGTGTAAAGAGAGAGAAAAGAAATTCAAAAAAAGGTAAACAAACATATAGAGAACAATTTGTTTATGGTAAACAATTGGTACTAATTTGATATAAAAAATGATGGAAACTTACATTTCTCTCTCTGAATTAGCCTGAAGAGTTGTAGATGACGAAGGTGTTGAAACCTCAGAACTAACCTCAATTCTGGTCTCAGAGGTAATCAGATTATCTCCTCCAACAGGAGAGTCAACGGATGAAGATTCGGTTGACATTGATGTGTGTCAACCTAAACATAAACAACAGAACAAAAACGCAAATTTAGCAAATTATCACCAACGAACAAGAAGAACAAAAGAAAACACAGAGATAAAAGAATAGATTCAAAAAAAAGCCTAAACAAAACACCAATTGCGATCAACAATCAAATAAAATATTCTTATTGTTGTTATTACGTTTATAGATAAAGCAAAAGGTAACAATTGTATTGGATTGGAAAATGAACAACACTGAGAATCAAAATGAATCGATACTCACCTATTTCCCTTAATTGTAAGGGAATTTAAGTTACTAATGAGAATGGTGATGTTACGATGATGATCAAATTAATAATGAAAGAGAACAACAAAAAACGATTAGAAATTAAAAGTGAATTTAATTTAGTGTTAGTAAGAGAAACCAGTCTCTCCAACCTTGATTCCAACCGATCCTTGGACACAAAGATTAAAACCTTCACTCACTCTCTCTCTGTTTCTCTCACTTGTTCTTAGCGAATTGTTATTTTTTCTAGTTTTCTTTTTAATTGTGAAATTTAATTAATCAACTAGACGACAATTAACACCGGTAAGATTAACTATTGTTACAGAAATTAATTGCTACAAGTGAATTTAACATTTGTAAACAAAAAATGTTCAATATGAGTCAATACCATAAGTGAATCATATGTTAGTTTTCTGGTTCTTTCTATTTCTATATTGGTTTTTTTCTGTAACTTACCTAATTTCTTGATGGTTTTGGATTACAATCAGTTAATGACAATAATTCAATACGTGGATTGATAGGCCTTAATAGGAAAGGTTAACAAGAATTTTAAAAAAAAATGGTGAACCGATTTGGATACTTGTTACGTTTATTAACAGGAGCAGATGATGAAAGGAGATGTTGATTGTTGCATCAACCTGATTACTTTGTTGTTAATTTTTTAATGATGGTGATGGTGATGATGGAACAATATAATATGTGAAAAAATGGAGAACAATTAACAATCAATGGTTAACTGTCACTTGGAATGATTGGTGATGAAAAGAAAACATTTTCTTCAATCAATATCGAGGAAATTCACCCAATAATTGTTGAAGGAAAAAAAGACCGTCAACCTGAGAGAGAGATAATTTTGGCCGAACATCATCATGTTTTATTCGCAATTTAAACCTTGAGAAAAATCAAGCATGTTGTTAATTGTTAGAATTGAAAACTTGACGTACAATTGAAATGATATAACAATCATTTAAATCTCTGTTCGTACAAGTGATGTTTAGATTAGATTAAGAGAGAGAAAGAGAGAAAAATTAATAATTTAGAAACCATTGATTTCTAAAGGTTAATCATTGTTATTGTTTACATTTTCTCTCTTGATTAACGGTTACTAATTATTTCCTTTAATTTCTTATCTTTCTACAGGAATCATTTATCTCTGAAATCAACAACATTCACCATGAAAGCGATTCAATTTTACAATCAACTGAATGACAGGGGCTGCCATTGGAACGACTGTACGCTCTTAATGGTGATTTTACTTTCCATCCAATTCTTGAAATGGTTCACCTTCAATTTGATTGGGAATTTATCTTTTCTTTGATTTACTTATTACCATTC